CAGCCCCTTGCTTCAGAAGAGGTCCGGGGGAAGCGGGAAGCGAAGCGCTTCGCTTCCCCGCTTCCCCCTGACGTCTTTTGCAGCTGTTCCGAAGTGGGGCGGGGGGGCGGGGTCACCTGCCCCAGCCGCCCCACTTCGGAAAGCTGTTCCGAAGCGGGGAGGGGGGGCGGGGACATCTGCCCCAGCCGCCCCACTTCGGAAAGCTGTTCCAGGAACAGCTCCATAGGAACCTCCATAGGCGCCCGTCACCTCTCCAGCCATGAGAGTGCGCGCGGGGCTAAACCAGCCCCCCGCGACCCTCTCCCAGCTGGAGAAGTGACGCGCGCCTATGGCAGGAGCCTCCATAGGCGCCCGTCACCTCTCCAGCCGGGAGAGCGCGCGCGGGGCTAAACCAGCCCCCCGCGACCCTCTCCCAGCTGGAGAAGTGACGCGCGCCTATGGCAGGAGCCTCCATAGGCGCCCGTCACCTCTCCAGCCAGGAGAGCGCGCGCGGGGCTAAACCAGCCCCCCGCGACCCTCTCCCAGCTGGAGTTGTGACGCGCGCATATGGCAGGAACCTCCATAGGCGCCCGTCACCTCTCCAGCCGGGAGAGCGCGCGCGGGGCTAAAGAAACCATAGCCCCGCGACCCTCTCCCAGCTGGAGAAGTGACGCGTGACTATGGCAGCAGCCTCTGAAGGATGCACCGAAGCCTGGCGTGGGGGGGGGGGCGGAGAGACCTTCTCCCCGCGCCAGCCTTCGGATGGCTGTCCTGAAGACTTGGGGTGGGAGAAGGGTTTTCCTTCCCACCGCCAACATTCAGAATGCTGTTCTGAATGTTGGCGGTGGGGAGGAAAAACCCTCCTCCCACGCAAGCCCCGGGAACAGAGGGAAAGCGCTGCGCGCCTTCCCCTCTGTTCCCGTACCTGTGCTGAAGGCTTGCGGTGGGGAGAAAAGCCCTTCTCCGCACCGCCAGCCTGGCAAGCGGTTTCCCTAGGAACGCATTAATTGATTTTCAATGCATTCCTATGGGAAACCGTGCTTCGCAAGACGAAAAATTCGCTAGACGACAAAAATTGCGGAACGAATTAATTTCGTCTTGCGGGGCACCACTGTAATGCAGGTGGATTGCAAATGGAAAAAAAATCCTGGTAACACTTTAACAATGCTTTGTTACAATGCAGAGTTGGGAACAATGCACATGTTCCCAACTCTGCAGTGGTGTAGCGTGGGTTGTCAGCACCCGGGGCAAGGCAAGTAATTTGCACCCCCTAACCCATGGATTTGCGCCCCATAACCCGTGGATTTGCGCCCCCTAACCCTAACCCCCAGATGTTGCGCCAGGTGTGGCCGACCCCCCCCTGCACCCCCCACGCTACACCACTGCTCCCATCCTCTCATAGCTGGAGGTGCCGGCGACTCAACCTGGGGGCCTTTTTTTAAAAAAAATATTTTATTAAGGATTTTCTTGTTTTACAGAAGTGTAGTGCCTCGTTTTTTGTTTGTTTTTTCCATGTAACATTTTTACAAATCCATTTCATTTGTTGAGGCATTAGGGGGAGAAGAAAAAAGAAAGAGGGAAGAAAAGGGGGGGTGGAGAGAGGGAAGATGGATGGGGGTGGGGTCGGGTGGCGGTGTTTCTATTATGTTTAATGTGTGTAGAGTTTGGTGTCAGCGTTGTTTGTGTTGTTCACTTGTGTTCCTTTGGTGGTGAGAGAGGTTGGGGTTGGCCTAGGGTGTGATTGTTTGCTTGTGATTGGCTGTGGTGATCTTTGTTTTCGTGTGTGAGTGAGGTGGGTGGGTGTTTTGGATCAGGATAGCCATATTGATTTGTATGCTGTTGGTGGATTATTGTCATTGTCCTGTTGGGCTGTGTGTGTGATAAAGGGGAGCCATACCGGGGTGAAGGTGTCTTCTTCTGTTTGTCCCCGTGTCAGTTTCAGTTTATTAATTTTTCTAGTAGGGCTGTTTCCCATACTATTTGGTACCATTGGTCCATGCTTACTCCTGACAGGTCTCTGAAAGCAGCGCTCTCCCATGCAGCCACAAACTGTAGTAGACCGGCTCTTTTGAGAAGCAAGGCGGGAGGGATGTGGCTGGTCTCTGCAGGGGAAGGAAAGGAAGAGACCGCGGGGTCTTTTTCTTCCAGGCATCCGTCCAAGAAGGAGCGCCTGCCTCTGGTTTAAACCTCGCTCACCAGAAGAGTTGCAGATCCAGCCGGGGCCGCGCGCGCTTTCCTGAGCGGGAAAGCAAATGCGGGGGAAAGTCTCCTGAGAGGCGCCCTCCCTGCTCTCAGAATGGCGGGATGATGAGAGGCGCCCTCTAAGGGACAAGAGACCCGGGAAATCCACCTCCCACTGAACTGAGCTGGGGTGGGTGGGGGGACTTAATTGGAAAGAGGATCGCAGCTTCCTCGAAGGGAGCCTTTGACCTTGAAGCTTGCTGCTGGCAGGGTGGCTTTTTGCGGTCGCCCCAATTTGGGCGCAAATACCCGGCGGCTTCGCCCCACAACCCCCACGAAGATGCGGCTTGGGGCGCGCACGCGGGTTTCCACCTGACTCTCTCCCTCGCCCCCTCCCCGGAGCGTTGCAGTGAGAAAGGGAGAGTTCCCGCTCGGCTGCCGCTGTTTCTCTCCACGTGTCCACCGCCAGAGGCAGCAGCGTCGGCGGCGGCCGGCCGTGCCTGTGCGAGCAAGTCTGGCGGTGGAATGGTGGCGAGGTGCTGCGGCTGCCACCGGGCCCTGGCGGTGGTGCCTCCCGGCGCACTCTGCCTGGGCGCGGCGCTCAGCGGGCTCTTCAGCTTCGGCTTCTTGGCCCGCGGCCCTGCGCCCGAGGCTCTTCGGAGGCTCCGGAGGTGGCGAGCGCACCCCCCCAGGTGTTGCGCCCGGTGCGGCCGCCCCCCCTGCACCCCCCACGCTACGCCACTGCTACTCTGCGATCACTCTCCAAAGGAAGTGAGCTCCTGACCAAATATACAAGGTGGCAATGTGTTTTGATTTTAAACACTTTTTTTTTAACCCACTGTGGTTTTCCTAGCATCTCCCACTTTGATGCATTCTGAGCAGTTTCCTTGGAGCAGTCCCTCAAAATCCATTTGGCTTGAATTCCGAGTTCTAGTTCCTCATTAACAGCATTTCAGCAGGAGCAGCTGGCTTCCTCTCCTGTTACCTCTGAGCATCTTCTCTGCTGCTGCATCAGAAGCAGCATCACAGCTGAGACCACAGCCAACCTGGGGTGGCCACAGCAAGAGGCCAATTTTTAAATGTCAAGCCCTTTTCCTAAGTATCCTGAGCACTGAAAACAGCAGATTAAACTGGATTGTTGAAGTCCTACATGAACTCAGGAATGTACAGAACAAGATTTAAATGTAGAAAGTGATTGAAGGGACGAGAAAAGACTTAAACTTGGAAAAGGATGAAAAGCGAGAGTGGTGGAAAGAGGGAAAGGAGAGTTTAGGGTGATTATTTAAACCTAAATTGAAGATCGCAGGAGGAGAGGAAGATCTTGAATGGAGATCAAGAGGCATGAGTTTCCTCTTCCACAACTCAGCATCAAGATGGCTGGAAGGGAAGAGAAACGTCATGTCTGGATCTCTCCTGAAGATCAGTAGAAGCTTTTACCCCTTCATGTCTTCAGTGTGAAGGATTTGTTTTTCTCCAAGTACGTTTCTCCCTCTTCATCTCACTGTGGAGAGGGGAGGGAGAAGCATGGCTGAATCTCAAGAGCCAGCATTTCCTCCTCTCCATCCCTGAAGATCAAGATAGAGTGCTGTGAGAGAGATAAAACAGCATGTGCCTGCGTGTGTGTGACAAAACATGTTAGTAAACTAGCCTGTGAGAGAGAGGAGGGCCGCATGAGACCGCGGCACACTGCAAACTCTGCATGAGGTAGACCCAAGGCAAACAGGAAGAAGAAGAAGAAGAAGAAGAAGAAGAAGAAGAAGAAGAAGAAGAAGAAGAAGAAGAAGAAGCTTGCAAAAAAAGAGTGATGATTGCCGCACAGACATTCCATCTGAATAAGAGGATGAAGCTTGGGATTGGCCTCAGCAGCTTCCTGCATCTGTCTATGAAAGCCCACACCACATTTGAGAAGAAGCCCCCTTTGCTGAGCCATGCTATCAAGACCACAGACATCCCTCCCCCTTGAGGATTCACTGAGAGGCAGAGGCTGGATTCTCCTCTTTGTTCCACTGCCGCACCTGACATGTGCTGCCATACACACTGCAATGCCATTTTGCTTCTCATTCCAGGCAGGCTGCATCTGCCCCCCCCCTCTCATCTACCTACCTATGTATATCTTTCTGTTCCCAGCTCAATCTCACTGGGAGATGATGCCCTCTCAATGGGTGTACCAGAATATCACGAGAAATGCCTGCTTCTCACCCCATAAGCAACACAGCCAGGAACAAACAAGCATGGAGGAGGAAGGAGATTCATGTTGGTGGTTAATCGCCAGGTCTTCCATCCTGAGAGCCTAAGTCTCAAGTGGGGAAACTGCGTCCCTCCCCATGCTGCTGGACTGCAAATCTCACCATCCCTGAACCATTGTCTATGCTGACTGGGGCTGATGTGAGTTGTGAGTCCACCAACATCCAGGGTGGGGTGGTCACATACTCCCCACCCCTGCATGTTCCCCATCCCTGCCCTAATGGCATCAGAACAAACAGGTATCGTTTCCTGAAGGCAAAACTTGCATGTTGCTCTCAACAACAAGGGCAGAATAATCTCCCCAAAAGGGACCTTCCATGTGATTCTTCTGCAAAAAGTTATTCGTTCAGCCTGGCACCTATTCCCGCAGAATGTTCAATCCAGCCCTTGCTAAGGTCCAAACCAAGTACGCTTAAATCTTCACAGCCCTCCATATTTGCAGCAATACATACTCAACACAATGACACCACCCTAGGGCAGGATCGCCCATTGAAGCAATAAGAACAAACAGAAAAATATTGGGCAAACATCATTTAACTGAATTTCCCACCGTAATGTCACAGCAAAAGCACCACGCTCTAAAACAGCACCCCTACCTGTGGCATTGGAAAGAGCGAGGGACTCCATCGAACCCCGTGGCGTTTGTTCTGTGGGCGCCAGTTCCTTGGTGAACTTCAGTGCGTTGATGGGATGCCTGGTCCGGCACTGCTGTGCAGATCGACTGCTGTCTTCCTCCTGGTTGTACTTGGAGACCTTGTAACTCCCCCTGGTGTCACCGAAGCTCTGGTTGGACATGTCACTGTAACTCTCCTGCGAGCGTAGCCTTCCTGAGTAATAATCTTCCCGGCATTCTTGGATGAAGCTGCCGCCGTGTCCCTTCATGGCCAGGGAGGAGCTCCTCTTTGGGTTGCTGAAATGTTTGCCCCACAGCTCCTGCTGGCTGCTTGGGCTCTGCCCTGGGTTGTAGGAAGTCCTGATGTTACACTGGCTGAGGAGCTGCAGAGGGCTTTGCGACTGACTTTGCTCCATTTTATTCCCATAGTGGTAGGCTTCGTCTCTGCTCCTCCAGATGTGGTCCCTGTTGAGGCTGGGCGTTTGGCTGGACAAGCTCAGCAAGTCCATCTGCAAGGAGAGGGGGTCCACATCCGTAGACAGCCTGCTGGAGGTCACCTGCAGCTGGCTGCTGCCCTGGCTGGGGGCGCCCTCTTCTCCCTTGTTCCTGTTCTTGCCGATCTTGGCGCTACGCCGCGACTCTTTGGCTCTGGCGCTCTGGAAGGCGGAGTCTGATGAATCCGAGCCGTTGGGGTCGTCACCCATGCTGCACGCCCTGGAGCAGAAAATCTGCCCTTGCTTCGGCAGGAACGGTCGTCCAAGCAGAGACTTCTTGCACTGTGCACAGCAAAAGCAGGTCTCCGTGGCATGCCAGTGCTGGCCGTCATACGTCATCTGACCCTGATCAATGCCTTTGGAAAAAAGGAGAGAAATATGGTGAGCATCGACTAATCTAGAGAACAATTAGGACCAACTGGATGTGACGTTAAGGCTCCTGAACTCTGGTGGGGAATCGGAGTAGTCGAAGTTCAACATGCTAGCCATGATACCAACCTGAAACCTGAGACTGTGATAGAGGATCACAAGTAGTACACCATGATCTTCACACTGTTTGCTGAAATCTGCTTGGGACAGGAAATAAAATATTAAACTCATCTCTAGGTATAGCTGCTCAGGTCTCTGTTGTGCTCCAGATCAAAAGAAAAATTATTAGTAATCCCGTTTTCTCTAGCCTAGTCTTCTGTTCCATAGGAGGAAGGAAAATAGGAATGACCCCAAGTTGCCCAGTTTGCCTTCCTTTGTCACCAACCTTCCATCATGAAACAGCGGGGCGGAGTGTGCGGAGGACAAAGTGTGCCTTGCTCATACGCTTAACTCTCCCTGGGGATTACCAGAAGAATTAAATGCATTGTGGTCTTAACAATGAGAAACACTGTTCCCAGCAAAGGGTCCCAAAGCTTACCCGTCACAGGTCAGACCAGCTGCCAATGGAATTAGCACAGATCACCACCGCCATATTTAGCACAGACGAATTAGCACCGTGGCGAGTTTTTACTCTGTGTTCAGAAATAAGAAGCCGGCTTCAAACCATCTATTTCTGGCTCTCTTTATTCTAATCCAAGGGGTAGGTTTGTTGTTGCTTTTTAAAAGGCAAAGTGGCATGTCTCAAACTTCCGGAACAGAAATGGATCAGAAAGATGTTGACAATGGAGAGCAAGCAGTGATCTATATCAAGGCTAAGCACACAACCATACTATGTAGTTGCTTCCATGGCACTAGCTGCATAAACTTTAACAGATGATGGTACATCATGATCTAATCTACCATTTCACAGTTCTTCGGCTCTTACAAGTAAAGCTTATAAAGATGCAAGTATACAGAGAGATCTCCTAGCGTTTTACCATGCTGGCTCACCATGCTATATTGAGCCATACAGAATGTAGCCTTCAGCTTCTCCACTGATACCTTGCACTGAGCAAAGCCACATCCCAGTGATACCTTACACTCCTGCCAAAGCTGCTGAATGCCGCCTTGGCACATGCACATATTCCTTAGGGCAGGGGTCAGCAAACTTACCGCGCCTCAGGCTGGTGTCTCCAGTACCGAACGCGTGGCGGGCCGGAGGGCAGGGCAGCCTGTGCCCAAACGTGTGTGCACACGCTATTTCCAGTGCACTTCTGGGTCGGAGGAGCACCAGAAATAGCTTGTGCGCATGTGCACGGGCCTCCTCCAACCCGGATGTGCACTGGAAATAACGCATGCACATGTGCAAATAACGCGCATGCGCACAAGCTATTTCCGGTGCTCCTCCGACCCAGAAGTGGGCAGCCGCGCAGCGCAGTGCCGGTAAGAGTGGGCGGTGGCAGCAGGTGTCACCACGGGCCAAATAAACGAGTCCCTTGGGCCTTATCGGGCCCGCGGGCCTTAGTTTGGAGACCCCTGCCTTAGGGAAAGGGAGGGTGCAGCTGGCATGCTAACTCTAAACAGAATCTATAGATGTGGAGGGTGGGCTGCTCATGGTGCAATTTGGAAAAATGAGTGAAATTGCACTAAGAGAACTCAAACCCATAATATACTTTACTGGATTATTTTTTAGCATTACTTTGATACTCCTATTTGTTTCATTACAGGCATATCACACTTTGTCTCTAAGAAGCTCAGGATGGTCTACACTTACAAGTGGCAGCTCTCCAGGGTGTCAGGCAGAGAGTTTTCCCCATCCCCAACTGCAGGTACTGTAGCTCCCGCCTGGGGAGCAGCTGCCAGTCATACTAGGCTAGATGGGCAAAGAGCTTGACCTGGCATAAAGAAGGTTCCCACAGTCCTGCTGAAGCCCCACTTCCACGATCATTCCCCTTCTGAGCCATTCCCAATTGGGGAAGCAATTCATTTACTACAGTAGTGCAGCACACACTGAAGTTATGGACGCACACACCCTTTTCACACAATGTCGTGGCATCATATAAGTGCATGGCAAATGCATGCTCCAACTATTCCTTTTCCCCAGGAATGGTTTTCAGGCATTTGTCTCTTGCTCCCTATTTTTGCATTTGCGTGAGATTTTGGTTTTTTTAAGTGTGCACTCACACAATGCACCACAGCTGCTCTTCTTGATTTTCTGCCCCTTCCTCTAATCCTCTAGAAGTCAAATCCCTGAGTGGGAAACAGATGCATCTTGACTTTACTGCACACTCAAGAACTCTCAGCGCATCATACAGTTTCACAGGCAGCAGCTGGTAACATTTTCAACGGATAAGTAAGACAATATATTATGGGGCAATTATGCTTTTATAATATAGCACCCTTTTGGCCTTTAAATCACATGATCAGGCCCAGGTTGCAGCTACACCAAGGCTTGCCTTACTAAATAATACCTGTGCTTCACTTCCTCGCTATCCACTGTATAACTACTGTGCCAATCAGAACACTAAATGTTGCTGAGCAAGTCTTGAGTTGAAGCAGTGTGAAACCATATCAGATTATAGTAGTACAGTAGTACCTCAGGTTACATACGCTTCAGGTTACAGACTCTGCTAACCCAGAAATAGTGCTTCAGGTTAAGAACTTTACCTCAGAATGAGAACAGAAATCGTGCTCTAGCAGCGCAGCGGCAGCAGGAGGCCCCATTAGCTAAAGTGGTGCTTCAGGTTAAGAACAGTTTCAGGTTAAGAATGGACCTGCGGAACGAATTAAGTACTTAACCCGAGGTACCACTGTACACTTATTTCTTAAAAGAAAGAAACTTATGGTCAGCTTAAGGGATTCTAGTTCATGAATGTGCGTGCCATAATAAATTTATTAGTCTTTAAGGTGCCGCAAGACTCCTTGCTTTGCTTACTCACTACTTCAGAAGCCAGTGCAGGACATTCTATCGTGGAGTAAAATAATACTGCGTACCACCCGTGAAAAGGGGTCTTCAGCCATGTGTAATATTGTGTACGTGGTTCAGAGGCTAGAATTCAGGGTGTGCCCAGTTGATACTGTTTTAAAAATGTGCTTGTTTTCAGAGGCCTGGTTTGTGCATCACACTATGCGAAACCATGGCTTAGAGCAGCAGTTCTCAACCTGTAGGTTCCCAGATGTTGTTGGACTACAACTCCCATCATCCCTGAGCTGTGGCCTTGCTAGCTAGGGGTGATGGGAGTTGCAGTTCAACAACATCTGGGGACCCACAGGTTGAGAAAGACTGGCTTACAGAGTGAACACACAAGAGAGGCTGCAGGAGAGGAAGTCATGGCAGCTTTGCTCCCGGACTAATGGTTGGCTCTCTCCAGACTAATCATGAGCTGTAAGCAACCTCTGCCGTATGGTTTATGAGTTATCTGAGAGAGCTAACCCATGAACCTAGGTCTCGGCAACATGCAGAGACAAACCATGACTTAGATCAGCTCCTGGAAGGAGCAAAGCAGCCCAAATCCCTTGATCCAAAGGGCATACAACCAATATGTGTGGGTGTTTATGATCCTACAACTCTTAAACATCAAATTTTCACACTTGCTGCCACAACTGGATTTAAATTTGGTGGGGCTGCTGGAGACCAGATTAAATTGGCTGAGGGCTGCATCCAGCTCGTGGGCTATGTTAAAATGCAATCCACTGGCAATTATTATGGCGCTGACTGTGTGCTCCATTTTAATTCAGTTTCTCATCTGCATCATCCCAAAGGCTGAGGGCAGGTAGCAACATATTTAAGAAGCTGAATCAAGAGAAGCAAAGAACTGAGATTCTTAAGTACATAAATAATAACATACACCTTACGAAGAAAATTACTCACACTTGGAAAACAGAAACAGAACATTCCTGCACCCGAACTTGCAAATCTACTTAAGTGAAATGCAGTTTACTGAGGTTTGAATTTCCTGGGAAGAATGGGGCTCACATTCTAAGCGAGTAATTCACTGCAGTCCTCCCCACAGCCAGGGTCACAGTTTACTGGGTCTGCTCTGGAGAAGTTTTTCAAGGAAAAGGAAATACGTCACTAGGTGACGGGTGCAAAGTCTTCTCAAGGGAGAAGGGAGGCTGTTGCAAAACCCGGTGATGGGGGCCAAGTCCAGGGTCAGGGTTCAGGGCAGGTTTGGGCATCTCCAAGGGTTGTGAAAGGAGTGTCCAGGTGTGAGGCTTCATCTCCGGTAATGGAGAAAGCTCACGGAAGGGGTGTCAAGTCAGAGGGGGAAGAGTCTGACGGAGAAGACACAACTGCTGGCCCTAATGGGTCAGTAGGGTATCAGGTCACAGGTGCGTGGAAAAGTGTCGCACAGTGTGATTCTGGGAGTGTTGAAGGGGTTCAACAAGTGCCTGGGAAAGATGCCGGGAAGGGGCACAAGGCAAAGGTAAAGGTGTTGAACTCAAAGGGGTCTTGTCAGAATGGGATGCAAGAGGGGGTGTGAGAGTTGGAACTTAACTGGTTAAGTTGTTCCCTACGGAAAGATCATCTTTAATTTACAACCCACCAGCGAAATGTCTGTCAAATCTGATAGGTGGGATGGAGAGCGCTAGATCCATTTTCACTCTTCCTAACAATGTGCAAGGCTGTCTGCTGAATTTTTTAAAGGGGGCTGGTTATCACACAAAAGGCAGAAGATACAGGGATCAGTTCCACTGGGTTGTCCCTTCTATTGAGGACAATGCTCATGAGAAGCTCACTGAGGCTAAGAGATGGAAGTTCTACACCAGGGGAGGTCAACATGTGCTCTCTTGATGTCCCATCATTCCCAGCCAATGTGCCCAAAAGGCAGTGAAGATGGGAGCTATAATCCAGAAACATTTGGAGGGGAAGGCTCCACAATACATTCGAGTGTATCCCCACATAATTGCTTCCCTCCTTATTAATATTATCATTAAGATATAAACGTAACATCACCAAAACAATTGGTTTTCCTCCTGCTGCCCCTTTCCCAGAACAGAAGACTAATACAGCAGATTTCCCCATAAACCTATATGCATAATTGGTAGGTGCCAGACATCAGGGGGGTTGTTTGAATACTTTGTAAAGGGATGCCATATTTGAGCAAAACCATGCCTATCAGTTGCATCATTCAGGGCATGTTCTCCTTTGGTTAGTTTCTCAGATAAAGCAATTATCCACACTTCCTGTTTCCATTGTATGATATGTAGATGTCCTTTCCAATTTTTTGATATGAGCAATCGTGCCACTACAAGAAAAAAAAAGTGGCAAGTTCCTTGTGCAATAATTTGATTATCTTAAAAAATTAAGTTGAGTATCTTTAAAATCCCCCAACAGCTGCTGCAGATTGCCTGCAGCATGCCTATAGCATGCCAACTTTTCATATCAAAACTGCATCTATTTGATAATTTGGGTCCCTATACATACCTTTATTTTGCAGCCGAGTTCATCAAAGGATACACTGGGGGAGGTGACAAGCTGTTACCTTAGTAACACCTACCTACATACAGCAAAGTAGCTTTTGGAACTAAGAACGTCTTTCGAGAACAGAACGTTACTGATCATATTCATGCATCTCCGTAGTCACGGAGTCAGTACATCTGACTAAAAGAAGCCCCTTCTGCAACTAAGTAAAATGTAGATTTTTTTCTTTAAAGTATGAAGCAATGTAGCATAGCGTGCCCTAACATCTCAGAACAAGGGAATGCGGTGCTCACTGAGCTCTCTTTGTAGGAGAGCAAGTGCAGTGTAATGGTTGAAGTAACAGAATTTTGATGTGAAAATATCCCATTTGCTCCTAAAACTGCCTTGGTAGTCTTTGCAAAGAGCTGGCACTTGTTGACCCCATATGAGGTTGCCTGAAAACGAAGTTCTTCTTCATAAACCCAAACAAAACTGAGGCAGGTAGCAACTGGGGAGAGGGCAATTTCAGTGGAGATGCCCCATTTATGGAACATCCTCCCTGGAGAAGTCTGCCTGACACCTTCTTTATTAAGTTTTCGGCACCCAATCAAGACTTTTTTAAAAAAAAAACTTGCAATTTTAATAGTATCTTTCTTTTAGTTGCTCCACTATTTAATTACCTCCGTTAAAAAAACCCAGATTTTATATATGTATGTAGTTTTAATTCTATGATTATTGAGTTTTCTATGTTTTTAGGTGTTCTTGTTTATATCTGCAAGCTGCCTTGAGTCTCAACAATGAAAAAGGCAGGGTATAAATTAATAATACAGTGGTACCTCTGGTTACGAACTTAATTCGTTCCGGAGGTCCGTTCTTAACCTGAAACCGTTCTTAACCTGAGGTACCACTTTAGCTAATGGGGCCTCCCGCTGCCGCCGCACAATTTCTGTTCTCATCCTGAGGTAAAGTTCTTAACCCGAGGTACTACTTCTGGGTTAGCGGAGTCTATAACCCGAAGTGTTTGTAACCCGAGGAGTTTGTAACCTGAGATACCACTGTAATAATACTACTACTAATAATGATACTAATAATACTACTGTCCTTTACAGAATATTGGTTCAGTACTTTCCTTGAGATCTCAGAAGACCAAGCCAAGGATAATTTTAATTTGGATTAAAGTCCAAATAAGCATCTGAGATACATTCTTGTTAAAATGTTTGTTAATGCACTGAAAAACTGATTCAAGGAACTGTATGGAAAAAAACAGGAAATTAAGAATAGGTAATGTGCCAGTTCAGATACTGTCTTCTTGTTAAGACTTGTCCTCTCTTAAATTCCAGGATATATAAGCTTCAAAAGAAGAACATTAGCTACAGATGGGTCTCCCCATTTAAAATGAGTTTTGCTTTGGTGGTGGTGTTTTTTTTTAAGCTACAGTGTGTGCTCATATTCCTGAGAAAGGGAATTTAATTTTGGAACTGCTCAGGGACTCTGATGGCAAGCCAACTGTTCATGTGTCATCTTAATTACAGAATTATAAAGGAGATCGTTCTCATTTCTGATACTTTGGATTTCGTATAGCTGCTGTTGTTGTTGTTGTTAAGAACCCAAGGCAAGTTACAGCCATTAAGACACAATGCTAAAAAGAACTGAAATGTATTAGCGGGGGAATTATCTATTATTTGTTTTGAATCAGATGTCAAGGAAATGAGCGCTATATAACCTTTAAAAGACATACGAAAGCAGCCTTGTATAGGAAAGCTTTTTAATGCGTAATGTTTTATTATGTTTTTATATATCTTGGAGGCCGCCCAGAGCGGCTGGGGCAAACCAGGCAGATGGGTGGGGAACAAATAAAATCATCATCATCATTAAAGGTTTTATGTTTTATGTTGGAATCATATTTGGTTACTCTTTTGGATGGGTTTTGATTTCTATGATTTGGTACGATGGATTTTTAAAAATACATATATATTTTTTTTTAAAAAAATAACCTGCTTTGGTCCACCTGTGACTTTCTACTCATGAGAAATCCACCCCCACGACTATCCCTTATAGCAGCTACGGAAGGAGAAAAGCACCACACTACCTGTACATGCCAGATTCCACTGGCTTTGTTACATCAGCGGCCACAATCCCCCCCGCCCTTTGCTCACACCTGTTTGCATGATTACCAGCTGCAGCGCTAACTGACATGCAGATGCCATGCATTCCATGCAACTAAAAGACAAGGCTCTCCAGCAACCAACAGAGTTTCCACCTCAAATAAAGCCGCTCACATATGGGTAGTTCTTCCGCAGGAAACCCCCCCCCCCCAAAAAAAAGAGCAGTCAGAAACAGACCGGGACAGTGCAGACCTATGCCTGGGAAGAGCCGGGCAACAGCTAAGTGTTGATAAGCCCTCAGCTAGTATTCTTCATTTGGCTTTCATGACCTGGATTTAAGACTGCGGAGGGCTGGATTTTAGCACTTTCAGACGCCTTCGCTTCTTTAATTGAGCTTGACGGGAGATATTACATCGTAATATTTTAGAACATGGCTCTATGGGTTGTTGTTTTTTAAAGCCTTCAGAGTGAGATTTCCCAACATATTCAAACGTATAAAATTACTCTCAGGCATCCTGAGAGAGCTTCAGAGCTGTTTTTCTGAATAGCTGTGCAATCTCGTTAAAAGCACTTTTGAGAGCGGAGTTGCTTGCTACCATGCCTCACGGGCACAATGTCTCCTTCCTTAGCATAGAAAAGTAAAGTGTTTTTTAAAACAACAACAACAACAACAACAACAAAAAGCCCCACATAGATATCCCTTGATCTCCCCCCCCTTTTTTTCCCCAGGGCTGAGGACTACTTCTTTTAACTGATGAAATCAGGAGCCCCATCCGGAGCTGGCATTGGTGCTAGAGATTTTCCTTTTCTTCCCCGCCAGCAGTAACACTGCCTTGTAGACTCCGGGCCCAAAGCTAGACGCCTACACCTGCCAAGTGGTTTCTTGGACGGCTGACAGAAACAGATGCCAGGGCCTGTCATGTACTTCCAAAACAAAGCCATTTCAACTGTTCGCCTAGGGGTGCGCTTCACCTTAAAACAATAATGCAACGGGTGTATCGACACGCCATATCGTGTTTGTGCCTTAAAAAACAAAAACGAAATAAATAATGTCTACAAACCCACATCAAAGGCTGCCCGGTTATCGTTCCCACTCCCGACCCCCACCCCACCCCCAAATTTGGCAGCTAGGGATGGAGATTTTGAAATGGCTCCCTTACCAATGTGCTGGGCGCAGGTATCGCAATACTCGGCGTATAAGGATTCGAAACAGTTGCAGCAATATGGCCGTCCTTCCTTCATGATGTACCGCTGCCCGCCCAGCACCGTTTCACATTCAAAACAGCAAAAGTGCTTCATGTGCCAGTGCCTTCCCTCAGCCTCCGTGCACTCGTCAGCAAAGATAATCTGTGGTGGGAAATCAAGCAAACGTGTCAGGGCCTAGAAAGCAAAGCTTCACTCATTTTTCTTGCGACCTGTCACAGAGGCCATTTGCCTAGACGCTCAACGCATGAGGAGACCGATCGACAAGTAAATAAATATTAACTTGTCCTGTGATTCGAGCTTGCTTTTTAACGGCTTCGCTGCTTCAAGACTCTTACGTCTATGCCTTTTTTTGAATCCTAATTTTCTACTGCAGCAAATAAATAAAAATAAATCAAAATGGTTGTAGAGAAAATGGGAAGTACATGGTACAGGGGGTTGTGTGGAATAGCGTAAGATGACTCCTATTCTATTTTCAGTAATGGGGGCCAGGAAGTGGGAAGCATTGGGTTAGGTTTTTTATTATTATTATTCTCTTACATTTACATTTATATTTCTTCTGTACATGCAACAAGTGCAAACAAGCCAGATTTCACAAAACCTTGACTGTGGTTTGGGCTCCGATACCTTGACTACCAGGGAGCTGGAGAATCTTCTGATTTCGGCAAACTAATGAGGCGCAGCGTTGCATGATTAATACCGTACTGTGTTTCGAAATTAACAAGCCGTGTTCAAAACCCTAAAGCTGCCATGAATTTTGACAGTTTGATTTCACTACGATCCTGTCCCTGGCCTACTGAAACAGGCTGCAGCTTCCCTCTCTTCCACCTCTCAGCTGCAGACTGGGCATTAAAGGGGTGGAGGAGAAAGCACACACAATTTATCATGTACACTGTTGTACACAGTGCAAATCTGTTTCGATGAAGGCAAGTGCAGATTTCCTCCCCACCCTGAAAAAGGATAAACTGTGGATGAATGGCCAGCAGTTCTGGGCTTGGCAGGGGCATTGGGCTAGGTGTGGGCATCTACATTCACGCATGCTTGTGCTGGCCGTTGCAAAGAGAAGCCGCTACAGAGGCTACCATGTGAACCAGTCTGGAGATATTTCACATCTTTCCTTGCTTGTAGAACTGCAAGATGTAGATGCAAAGATAGGCTGGCAAAGAGGACTTTGGAAACTTGCAACCATTCATCATGATTAACGGGAGGAGAGATGTTTGGCTGGCCTTACCTCATCACACGCTGCACACCGAGGTTTGAGGCATTCCGCGTGGTGCCGGCCACAATAAATCTTCCCATCTTGATAGAAATAGATGAGATCTACCAGCAGCTCGTTGCAGACGCTGCATATAAAGCATGGCGGGTGCCAGCAAACTCCATGACCTGCCCTCGATGCAAAGACGGCTATGTCTCCTCCATTGATTTGGCCTCCACACTGCGAAGACATTAAGGAGGAACCTGTTCTTACGGCACTCGAGGGGGAAACAGCTGAGGGCAGCCAGGTCTCATGGCAGCATTGGAGAGAATACGAGGTTCTACAAAATGATACGTCATGCATGTCACTCCTCTGGTTATTCACAACCCGGGTCCTTTGTCAAACTGGGGCTCCGTGGGGTTCAAATGAAAATGAAATGATGCGCTCTACACATGAGCATGAGCACCATCACAGCTCCCAATCACAATGCTTGTACACTTCAAACCCTGTCCATATATGGATGGGGCTTGGAGCAAGCAAACAACAGCCAAAGCACCAGATTCTGCTTCTCTTTCTGCCTGTTCTGTCTTCCATCAGAGAGAGAGGGAGGCAAGAGAGCTGGGCTGCTTTGATAACGCATAGGAACTTCACAGGATAGCACACTTCTTTCTACTTGTTCCCGGGTTCCCTTTCGTGTGATCAACATGTTGGGAGGGCTTCCCATATTGAAAAAAATATGGAGAGAAACAGTGGGAGTGTGTTGTGTTCTGATTTTTAAAGAATCTTTTAGAAATTTCAACATGCAAAATAATAACATACTGTCATTTTTCCCAGTCTTCTTCATGTCTGCAAGGGAGAACCAGGTGGAAGTTTTGTCCAAAGTATTTCAGGCATGAGGGAAGACATGCTTTTCTAGGTTCCCTCAATTCTGGCTGTGAGCAAGTTTGTTTTGCTTATGGTTTTATGGTCTAGCAATGCACAGCCTAGATGCAATTTCCCCTGGGGGTTATGTGGGGGGAAACCTTCCCCCCCCCCAGCAATCCACACAAGTAAATTCTCTGACCCTGAGAATAGTTTACTTAATAAGAATTCGTACTAAACTTCCTTTGTAAGGTCAAAGCAAAGAACAAATTTGTCTCCTGACTTGCCAGAGTCTCTTGTTATGACCTCTCATAACCCAAAGCTAAACATTGCAACAAAAAGCATTACAGTGGTACCTCGCAAGACGAATGCCTCGCAAGACGAAAAACACGCTAGACGAAAGGGTTTTTTGTTTTTTGAGCTGCTTCGCAAGACGATTTTCCCTATGGGCTTGCTTCGCAAGACGGAAACGTCTTGCAAGTTTGTTTCCTTTTTCTTAACACCGTTAATACAGTTGCAACTTGACTTCGAGGAGCAACTCATAGAACGCGGTGTGCTAGCCTTTTTGAGGTTTTTAAAGACTTTGGTGATTTTTGAAGCTTTTCCAAAACTTTCCCGACACCGTGCTTCGCAAGACGAAAAAAATCGCAAGACGACAAAACTCGCGGAACGAATTAATTTCGTCTTGCGAGGCACCACTGTATTAGTTGTTAAATTTGTATACTGCCCTATACCTGCAGGTCCCAGGGTGGTTCACAAGATAAAATCACAATATAAAAACACAAAATACATAATCAAAACAAAAACAACCCAATAACCCTCTGCAAGAAACACAATTTACAAGATTGTGCTGTATGTGTGCCACAGGAACATAATGCCACAACTTGGGAAAACTGCTCTGTGAATCCAAGGTTCATCTGGCCGCAAACATGTTGTGAAGATCGACCTACCTGCTCACAAATGGCGCCAGTCATGGTGACTGGAAAGGGTCGGACATTGCCTCTGCCCAGGTTCTCCCTTTTCCTCTGATTGCTGAAGAGTTTGAGTTCTCTCTTCTCTTCTTCATCCAGTGAGTTGCAATATCGTACCTAGAGAGTAATCAGCAATGATCTGTGTTACACTGGAAGTTGCAAGCCTTGGCTTCTCCTCCAACACATTTTTTTTTTTTTTTTACAGGCAACGTGTGAGGAACTTGCCACCTACGGGCAGACATTTCTCCCCTCAACAGATGGGCTTTCAGCCCAGGTCAGACTCTCGCAAGCCGATTTCTCTTTTTCCTCTCCTCAAACCACAATGGTCTCTGCTGCTTTCTATACTACTCCTTTGACTGCTGCTATCCAGTTTATTAATCATACTCCCAATATGCACGCATGCACATTATTAAAAAACAATGGCTGCTTATAACTCGAGGAAGACCAATGTGTCATAAAAACATGGTGGTTGACCCTGAAAAGTTGATGGGTCTTGGGATAAGGATGTGTAAGGGAATAATTACAATGCTAGGACACTACTCAAGGGACATGGCCAGACCAGAGATTAACGCCCTGGAAAACTGTGAAATCCAAGGAAAATTAAGTAGACTTCCTTGAGCTGTGGCTTTCTAGCCCCTTTCCTCTCACCACTGGTACAGCCAAATCGCATCACACACACATTTAACTTGCAGAAATTAAACTATACACATTTGGCTTCAGTGCCATTCCGAATCAATTTCAGCCTTTTTCTTCTGCCTGCATCTGTCTCTACCTGTCTCCCTTCCACCTCCATCTCTCTTCCCCCTCAACCACTCACACATGGAGGAGCGGGGAAAGGCCGTAGAGACACTGCAGAAGGTCTCCCCCATTTGCCAACAAGTAGCAGGCCAGAAAATAAGAAAATGTTGGCTATGTGTGATTTTCGCATATGCATGTATAACCTCAGCATATGATGCGATTGCACTGTATCTAAAAGGGACCGCCATCTTGGTCTTCTCCTGGCACATTCTGGTCTGGTTTCTGTAAGTCAACAGAGTATCGCTAATTCACTTGCCGCTGAACTCAAAGCCGAGAAGGGATAAATTACTTCCTGATTCAGTAGACAAGGCTCTTTTAAAAAGGTACTTCAGTGGCACTCAAAAGAGCTTAGCAAGCCCTTGACGGTGCAGCTTATGGCAGGTCCATAACTATTTGCTTGCTTGTTCACTGAAACTGGGCTCAGGCTTAAGCCAAGACCAACAAGATGTTGTCAGGATGATTAAAAGGCCTCCCCTCCACCGGCTGCCTTGCCTTCAAATGTTTAAAATGCACACTACAATTTCTCAGGGCGAAACCCAAGTTACTGAAAGGGAGACACACAGACAAACCCTTTTTCAGCCCTTGGAAAATAATTCAATGGACTGCAATTTTGCAGTGCCAACAGGCCATATGTAAAAGATCATCTGAGCGCCCTTGGGTTTTCACCTCCCATTCTGTTTTGTTTTTAAATTTTAACTAGAGTGGTCCCAGACTGCACGATGCTTTTGAACACACCTTCTCGAGTAACGCATTTTAAAATAATCTAAAATAAAAAAAACAGGATCATGCTTCAGGTGCAGAATTCTGGCACAAGTGATGTAAGAGCCTGAAGGCCCTGCCTGAACAAAAGTAACAGTGTGATTTATTATAATCATATATAACTAACAGCAAACTCATTCTCCAAGGGGCAAACCCTTAAGGAGTCAAAATTGACAATGCCTGCAGGAAAGAGGGAGGGGTCAGGAGGCTTGGGGAATGCAAGCATTTGCAGAAGTACAAAGATAAACTTAAGAAAGGGAGGAAACCCTAAGGTTGGTGGGCAAACCCAAACCCAACACTATTAGGACTGAGCATGCTCAGTGGCCACAGAATGCTGAGTGCTCCCTCGTGGAAAAATTAGGGGAGGGGGAATAATAGAATAATAGAGTTGGAAGGGACTCTGAGGATCATCTAATCCAACCCCCTGCAATGCAGCTGCCCCATACAGGGTTCGAACCTGCAACCTTGGTGTTATCAGCACCATGCTCTAACCAACTGAGCTATCTGGGAATGGAATGGAGAACCACAGAAAAGTCACTCCCGCCATAACCTCCTTTTGGCTCCACCCACGTGAAGCTCTGTCTACCAACGCAACACCAGCTTCACTCAGGGAAGCCATTCATGTCAACCAAAGATGCTACATGAAACATTCATCTTCAGGGGGCAATGGACCTCTGAACTCCAGATACACAGGATTGCTGTTGTCCTCATGCCCTTGGCTTGTAAGCCTTCCAGAGGGTTATGTATATACTTGGCTGCATTTTGCAATTTGGCAATGCCACACCCTGCACTTTAAAAAAAACGATGTATTTATCTTTTACAGGTATTATACAGAACAACATTCAATAAACTCTCCCCACACCCCGCATGGAAGAACAGATTCATATTACATAGAAAAACTATAGTTTTTCCTACTAGAAAGTAGGAAAGTCATCCTACTAGAATCATAGAACTAGAAGGGACCCAAGGGTCATCTAGTCCAGGCTTCCTCAGCCTTGGCCCTCCAGATGTTTTGAGACTACAATTCCCATCATCCCTGACCACTGGTCCTGCTAGCTAGGGATCATGGGAGTTGTAGGCCAAAAACATCTGGAGGGCCAAGGTTGAGGAAGCCTGATCTAGTCCAACCCCCTGCGATGCAGGAATATTAACTAAAGCATCCATGACAGTTTGGCTGTCCAATCTCTGCTAAAAACTTCCAAGAAAGGAGAGTCCACCACCTCCTGAGGGAACCTATTCCCCTGTCAGAAAGTTCTTCCTGGTGTTTAGTTGGAATCACCTTTCTTGTAACTTAAAGCCACTGTTGTTTTGAGTCCTGCCCTCCAAAGCAGGAGAAAACAAGCTTGCTCCATCTTCCATGTGACAGCCCTTAAGATATTTGACGATGGTTATCATATCTCCTCTCAAGTCTCCTCTTTTCCAGGCTAAACATACCCATCTCCTTCAACCGTTCCTCATATGGCTTGGTTTCCAGACCCTGGATCATCTTGGTTGCCCTCCTCTGCACATGTTCCAGCTTGTCAACATCCTTCTGGTGCCCAGAACTGGACACAGTATTCCAGGTGTGGTCTGACCAAGGCAGAATAGAGTGGTACTATAACTTCCCTCAATCTGGACACTATACTTTTGTTGATGCAGCCTAGAATAGCATTGCTTTGTTTGCTGCTGCATCACACTGAGTCACACTGTTGACTCATGGCCCAATATGCTAAAAGATGTCCATAGCTTGCTGCGAGTCGCTGGTGGTCGATAGCCATGCTCTTTTGTACAAACACATGAAATAAAGTCGAACCATGTGTTTTGGAAAGCATCTCTTGATTTGTTTATTCCTTGTTCACCTAGTTTTCCAGTCAGTTTGTCCAACAGTGCCACATCCCAGATTTGATTCAGCCACATTTCAGATAACATTTAGGGTTCTCAAGTTACTGGCAACATCAAGCAAGCAGCTGTTATTAACTGTAATATAAGCTTTTTAGATGATAATTCTTCATAATCTCCTTCATATATAGTTAATAAAGCAACGCTGAGGTCGAGATGTACCTGTTGTTTAGTTTTCATACTCATTTCACAAAAAAGTTATTCCCAAAATATACAAAGTTTCTGAGAAGTCCACCACATGTGGAAAAATGAAGCTACATTTTAACAGTTTCTCCAGTCATTTCTTGGGAGAGTGCAATTGATTTTATTGAGTAGTACAGGATGCAAATACCATTTATGAGTTAGCTCTTGTGTGTTTTCCCTAAGTTTAGCTGAATAAAATTGAAAAGGGAATTTCTGCCAGATTCTGTTCCAGGAAGGCTCGTTTAGAGTATCATTCAAATCTCTCCCCCAGTGGAGTTTGGGAGCATTTAAAGGTTTGCAAGAAAAAATTGGTTAATGAGCTGTAAATTAAAGAAATGATACCCTTGCCCAATGGATCAGCAGAATAAATTATATTTTCCAGGAGAGTTAAAGACTGGGTTGCCTGGGTTGTGATGTTTGTTTGGGAGATAAAATGTAAGACTTGGTATATATGAGCCCAAGAGTAAGCTGTGTTTTCCAAAGCCTGCTGGATCTCTATTCCTGTCATATGCTTTCTGTTCTTAGAGAAGTCTCTGATCCTGGTTCTCGATTTTTGTATTCCTGTATTCTATCTGGATTAAAGAAGCCAGAGTGGACAATCAAATGATTATAGGTGAGGTAAAGGTAAAGGTAAAGGTAAAGGGACGCCTGACCATTAGGTCCAGTCGTGACCTACTCTGGGGTTGCGGCGCTCATCTCGCTTTATTGGCCGAGGGAGCCGGCGTACAGCTTCCGGGTCATGTGGCCAGCATGACTAAGCCGCTTCTAGTGAACCAGAGCAGCGCACGGAAACACTGTTTACCTTCCTGCCGGTGCGGTACCTATTTATCTACTTGCACTTAGACGTGCTTTCGAACTGCTAGGTTGGCAGGAGCAGGGACCGAGCAATGGGAGCTCACCCCAGGAGGTGCAACCAAACATCCAGCAGGGTTTTCGCGGCTTCCGATTGGCTGCAGGAGCTTCCTGCAGCCAATCGGAAGCCGCGCCTTTGAAGTCGAGTGCTTTGGAAGTTGAATGGACTTCCGGAACGGATTCCGTTCAGCTTCCAATGTACGACTGTATTTATTTCATCTGTCTTTCTTTGGCCAAAACAGGCCAGGAGGTGGGTCACAGAATAAGATTTTCAAGCCACATTGAAACAGCTGGAAAATCATTTCTAACACCAGAGTGAGATTGGGATGAAGGCCAACCTGGCGCCCTGCAGATGTTTTGGCGCACAACTCCTATCAGCCCCAGCCAGCACTGCCCTGGGGGTCACCAGCTTGGAGAAAACTGTTCTCAAGCACAACCAGGGACTGGGATTGAGCACACATTTGCAGCACTGCAAGGCACTCATTTTAGAAGTGTATAAACACCACAAAAGGGACATGAAGCCAACAGCCCTCTACTGCTATTGCCCCAACCTAGAAGCTGCATATAAACATTGTGATCAGTAGTCATTGATCAACATCCTGTTATCAATTTATCTGAAGCCATCTTCAGCTAGTGGCCATTGTGACATCTTGCAGCAGTGAATTCCATGAATTAAGTATGGGTTGTATGGAGAAATACTTCCCTTTGTTTTCCTTGAGGCTCCAGCCAGTCACTTTTGGATGAGGGAGTAAAGCTTCTATCTGCTTTCTTCACACCCTGCCTAATTTTACAGCCACCCCTTTCTATATTGGGAGACCCGCCTGTCTCTGGACTCATTTGTAGTTGGCAACTTTTAAGACTATTGATGAGTTAAAACTCAATTCCAAGAGTACTTATCGCCTTGGAACATCTTTGCTTGAACTTCAGTCTCCATCCCTGGGCCTTAGTCTAGACTCCAATTCTACAGTTGGAGGATCTTACTTTAAGGGAGGTATTTAATGTCTTTTGAGTCTCTTCCAGCAGCAGGATTTTACAATTCTGTTAACAGCTTTTTGAAACGAAAACAAACATGTCTCAGCTTCACAGCATAGTACATTTGATAGGCTACCAGAAGTTTGTTTTTTTGATTTTTTTAACCTCACACGCTCATGGTACTAGCGAACATTAGCAGCTAACTATAACACAGCCAGGGCAACCCAACACACTGACAAAGTTATGGGAAGTTCAAGAAGAGTAAACACAGGCATTAACACAATCCGGATTTGCAATACTGTAATATGCAAAAAATAATTATATATATACAGCAATGGAATAATTGGTCCTTTGGATCACAGGTGGTTTTCATTTAGTCAAGCTGAATGAGGATTGGGTTTTGAGAGAAATCATCTCTCCACTCCATTTCCAATTTCTTCAGAACCTTCACAGAAGCTAAAATTACCCCCTGACAAGAAAAACTATGTCTCACCACACAACAAGAGTGTTACATTGTGGCCTACTAATTGTTATTATTATTATTTAGTGAATTTGTATACTGCCCTTCATCCAAAGATCACAGGGTGGTTTACAACATAAAAACAGACACAAAATATGTAACAAAAAATCAAAATCAAATCAATGACTCCCCTCCCACAAATACATTTAAAAGGCCATAGAATGTTTAATCAGCCAAAGGCCTGGTTATAGAGGAAAGTTATGGTACCTAAAGGTATGTATCAAAGGTGCCAGGCAAGCCTTCCTGGGGAGAGCATTAGAGAAACAGGGAGGCATCACAGAAAAGGCCCAGTCTCGTGTTGCTACCCTCTGGGCCTCTTGTAGAGGAGGCATATGGAGAAAGTTCTCAGATGATGATCACAGAGTCCAGGTCAGATCATATGGGGAGAGGCGGCACAGCATCAAACATTAAAAACTTTCCTAAACAGGGCCACCTTCAGTTGTTTATTAAAGTAAAATAGTTGCTTATTTACTTGACATCTGTTGGGAGGGCATTCCATAGGGCAGGTGCCACTACCAAAAAGTCCTCTGTCTGGTTCCCTGTAACCTCACTTCTCGCAGTGAGGGAACCGCCAGAAGGCTCTCACTGGACCTCAGTGTCCAGGCTGAACAATGGGGGTAGAGAAGCTCCTTCAGGTATACTGGGCTGAGGCCGTTTAGGGCTTTAAAGGTCAGCGCCAACACTTTGAATTGTGCTCGGAATCATACTGGGAGCCAATGAATATCTTTCAGGACCGGTGTTATATGGTCTCGGCGGCCACTCCCAGTCACCAGTCTAACTGCCACATTCTGGATTAATTGAAGTTTCCGAGTCACCTTCAAAGGTAGTCCCACGTAGAGCGCATTGCAGTAGTCCAAGCAGGAGATAACTAGAGCATGCACCACTCTGGCAAGACAGTCTGCGGGCAGGTAGGGTCTCAGCCTGCGTACCAGATGGAGCTGGTAGATAGCTGCCCTGGACACAGAATTAACCTGCACCTCCATGGACAGCTGTGAGTCCAAAGATTTAAAGCAGCCTTCCCCAACTTTGTGCCCTCCAGCTGTTTTGAACTTCAACTCCTATTATCTCTAACCATCACCTAGCTGGTGCTGATGGGAGGGCACCAGGTTGAAAGGCATATTTGGGGACTGAGCTTTCTCTATGGGTGTCCATTCTCTTGCATGCGATTTAGTAATCATCTGAAAACCACTTAAGGTGCTGCTAGTATTCTTAACAAGGATAAGCTAAGTCAGTCTTCCAAACAATGCTCAACTGGAGCAAAGTGAGCACAGACTTCTGGGGTGTCTAAAGTATCAGGAAGCAGGGGGTTTTTTTTGTCTGGCTTTGGAAGTTTTTGGTATGGATGTAAGGCCCTGTCCTATGGCTTTAGTTAACTCAAAATACCATATATTTTGCTCTATAAGACGCACCAGACCACAAGACGCGCCTAGTTTTTGGAGGAGGAAAACAAGAAAAAAAATATTCTGAATCTCAGAAGCCAGAAGAGCAAGAGGAAACGCTGCGCAGTGAAAGCAGCAATCCCTCTTGCTGTTCTGGCTTCTGGGATAGCTGCACAGCCTGCATTCGCTCCATAAGACGCACACACATTTCCCCTTACTTTTTAGGAGGGAAAAAGTGAGTCTTAAAGAGCAAAAAATATGGTATGCTGAACACAGCTCCCCATGTCCTTTTCCAGTGGAGAGGAAGAGCTGTGAGTTTTAAATACTCTTCTGTGAAGCAGCAAATGTTGTGGCCAGGGCAGCAGTTGCTTGCTGTGGAATCCAAAGGGAGGGGGAATCAATCCCTAAGAGGGGCACAACATAAAATGCAGAAGTAGAACTATTTTTTCAGGACAGCAGGAGAGGAGGAAAGGGTTAAATTCCCCACTGGTGCATTTGCATTTTTTAAAAAAACCCTGTTATGTTAGATGCAAATATGCATTTCATGCCTTATGTAGCTTAGTAAGTCAGTGGTTAGCAACCTGGTGCCCTCTGGATAATTTTTTTGACCACAACTCCCATCAGCCCCAGCCAGCATGATCAATGGATAGGGATGGTGAGAGATGCAGCCCAAATCTTCTAGGGGGGAACCAGGTTGACGAAGGCTGAGCGAGTGGCTCCTCACAGTGGCAAGTTGCAGATGTGGTGCAAGCAACCCATTTTAATGTGTCCCAAAGACAACATTTAAAATTTTACTTTTTGCTATCATATATAACCTCACAGTCAGATGCAATAAAAAGCCTGCATGTTTCAGTTCTTCAATTCAATACAAAAGCAGAAAACTTAATATTTTAGCAACCGCGTGAGAAATATATGCTCTTTTATCTAGTAGTATTTTAACCTACAGCAGCAACAATTCCGCACAGAGAGAAGTGTTTATTGTACCTATAGTTACAATTTAAGAGTATGTCATTTACACTGAGAGCCAGGCCAGTTTATCTGCGAGTCTGAGCCCAAAAGGTTTCATTATTTTTATGTATAAAAAACTATCAACATCTCTCACCACAAAATATGTCTTTTCCAGGAAAATAAAAGTTGGAAACTGCAATTCTCAGTCAAAGCAAAAGCAAGAAATATTGGAGAGATAAACGTAAGTAATAGGACATCTAGACTCTAAATAGGCATTGCATAAATATGCATTTCTAGATAAAATATGAGGACTGTTTCCCTTTCTATTCTACTGAGAACAAGTACAGAGGGCAGGGTCTCTGCCAAGTAATTCATCTGCCAGCACTGAGAGTGGTGGGGAGGGGGCAAAGTGAGGAAAACATTTTTAAAAAACCCAGAGAGCTTTTGCAAAACAATCCTTTAACAAATCCTTTGCCAGAGCCTTGGTTAACTGGCTAATTGCTGCACGCAACAGCGACATCAGAAAGATGGCCCAGTCCCCTGCGGTGTGCACTAAGCCAATGTTTCCCCAATTATTTCTAAATGACTCACCTCATTGTCGTGTGGCGGCAGCTGGTGAAGGAGCTGTTTGATACGGGCTTTCTCCCCTGGGCTGTTCACGTAGGGCACTTTGTCTTCTGGGAGGCAGCTGTAGTACTGATGAACCTAAATGTTAGAAAAAGGGGGACTGCAGTACAATGTCTTGGCTTCATTTTTGTTTTTGTTTTGCTTTCGACTGACAAGACACAGAGAATAAAACGCTCTGAGCAGCGGCACTCGAGATTACCAAAGACGTGCAGCTATTTTTTAAAAAAACCCCAAAACAAAACAGAAAAGCAACAAACTTTCCTTAGGACAAAGGCAAATGCTCTTTATCTGACAGAAACCGAAATTTGTTTGGAAGAGGGTCAAAGCAAGAGTGAGGGCGGAGGGCGAGGGGAGAGCAGTCTGTTTTCGGTCTAAAGCTAACCCGCCAAGGTCGTACTTTACCGTTTTCTCTGTCACTCTCCAGAATGTAAGCATGTTTCCCTTGGCTAGGAGGATCTGTCAGCACCTGCCTTTGTGAGCGTAGGTTAAGACGCTCCCCCTTGGCATCCAATCTATGACTGGGTAACTGAGCCTCCACCTACACTCCAGCCCCCAAGGCCTTTTCTGTAACAATTTGTGAAAATAATCAGCAGATAAAATCTGTCGGAAGGCTGGGTTCTCCCTTTAAGTCTCAGAGTGTGTAATTAAAAACAAACATGAAGAGTGCAGCACAAGGTGTAGTGCAACAAGGCCGGATCCCAAGAGATCCCATTTCTCGTACATGCGTTGATGATGGGCACACACTTCCGCTGCAGCTATGGGCCTAACAAAGCACCCTAGTTCTTCCCGGAGACCAGCTACAGCGCAGCATCACCTTCTGTGATCATTCCGACGCGATGCTTGTAAGGCGGAAACAGCGAGCGGCAAGTAAGGCCGGGTACAAACAGCCCCGTCTACTTGATCTGAGGGAACACGGTTCAGAATGTGGAAGCTGGGGATTGCTCTCCACCTTCTTTTCCGGAACATGCCACACTCAGAGGAGCTCAGCTGACGTTCAACGGAAAATCCTGTCACTCAAGCAACCCAATGGCTTGCCTCAAAGGTTCTGTGCCAGGTTGCCCCTTCTGAAACTTAACAACCAGCTGCCAGGACATCTTCCCTGCCATGTGTGTGTGTGTGGCAAGAATGTGACACCATTTTGGAGGTATCGTATCCTCAGAAACACAAGCACCACCATCACGTCGCATGACAACGCTGGAGGAATGGTGCGATTTGTACAGCCTCTTCAATTGTGCTGACTCCAATGGGCAGCAGCTCTTTGGGGGTGTCAGACAGTGATTTTTCACATCATTTGCTGTATGTTCCTTTAATGAACTGGGGGTGCCAGAGAAAGAACCTGGGACTGTCTGCATGCAAGCCACGGTCTCTACCACGAAGCTATGGTCCCTCCTAGCCAGGGGCTCATCATTGCCACATTGAGAGTCTCCATGCCTGCACCAGGAATGTTCTAGCCCAAAGCACCTCAGAAAACGCTTCATTGTCCTATGAGCCTCCCTTTGCTCGTAAAGCCATCAGAAGAAGGCCTGCTCTCTAAACGCCCAACACTGGGTGATGTGAAGCCAGCGGGAATGAGAGGCATGGCATTTCGATGGAGGGGCACTTGGTGCAATACTCCCTCCCTAGAGGGGCTTGCTTGGGTGTTAGGAGGTAATGCTGCCCCAGCAAACATTTGTAAATGTCAATTTTATTCCGGTCTTAAATGATGCTTTACTGCAATGCTCTGCTATGAACTTGTAATTGTTATTTATGTTGGGGTTTAAAGAACAACAACTTTTAATTGGCAGTTTTTATATAGAAGGCATCTGATTGCTTTTTAAGTGTTGTTGCCTGTTGAGGGCCTTTTTTGTTTTTGAGTGTGCAGTGGGATATAATTTAAGTAAATTAATCAAAACAAACCTTACAGGGATGTGAATGGTATGTATGGGATCACAACAATTCTTGCACTAAGCAGTTCTAAGGAAATGTGTATGGGAATGGGATGAGGCTGTAACGTGCTCTGTCCCTACCATCTTAGATTTTAACTGGGGGGAAGTAGAAATTAGGTTTCTCAGAACTATCACCCCAACACAATAACAGGAAGGAGAGACAGCTCATACTACAGGATAGCTCTCCATCATCTACGCCAGCCTGAAAACAGCTACATAATGCACTCACATTGAAGCTGCAGTGTTTATTTTACATGCCCAACCCCATTGCATCATTTGCATGCATCCCAGAAAGAGATGCTTTGAATGAAGCCCAGAACTGCAAAGAAAGTTCATGCAATGAATCCACAACTATGCCCCCACTCTATATTATGAGCAACCAATTTGTTCAGCCAAGGAATCTCCAACCAGAAGTCTTAAAAGCCACCAACTAAATGGTTACAAATAAAATCTCAGCACCACTTACTTTGCATTTATAGCGCATCCTTCACCTGGTCCCTGAACATGCAGTTCATTAAGCTGAACGCGAAGGAAGGCGATACAACCAAGTTAGGGAAGACTAACCGAACCAAAGCTCGCCTGAGCAGCCTGTAACTTGGGTGGTTGAAATCTCAAGCCAGGTCTCCGATTACTCCTTTTCTCCACCACAATCATCAGTTGATTTCTGAATGTCTGCATTTAACAATCAAATGCCCCTGTCGATCGCTAACTGCCTCTGTGCTCTGTAGATACAGCACTGCTGATTTTCTGCTATTGAGCATCCGTGCCCAGGACGCCCTTGAAACTGTGTGAATCCACAAGTAATTTATTCTTGACTGGCTGCCAAATTATGTCACGCTTGTCCCCAAGGTAATAAGCTGTAAAGACCCAGAGCACAGAAAGGAGGAGATAACAAGTCTAAATGGCAATCAGGTTATCGTGTGCGTAGATATTTGTTTTCTGGCCATGGCACAGGAAAAACCAGAGCACAACGCTTTCAAGCATTTCCTCTGGGAAGTCTTCCATTTCATGTCAGGAGGTCTGTCGGAGCTATCTCCCATCAGATTAAAGAAATAGCTCTGCAGGGATGGGCAAATGACTTTGGGAAACTAAAACCAACCCAAAACAGAGACAGCAGGTCCTGACCTGCACCTCATCACCTGAAACGAACCAGGGACTGTTAAGGAGATTTGGATCAGATCCAAGAAAGACGCCATTCAGGTAAACCCCAAAGAAAGCACCGACTCCTTCGGATTCTGCCTGGGTGATTTCAACTCCTTGCTCTGCAGGCAAATCGTGAATGTCATCATTAAGTGGATTTTCAGAAGCTTTCGCTTTTACCATCCTTCAAAATCAATGCATGTTCTCCTTGGGCTGTAAAACTGGGCGCCAGCCAAGAGAGAATCCCAGAGCACGTCCACGTCAATTGCTCCCACAGGTGATACGTCACCTTCGGCATTCAGTATCATCACCTAGAAAGTATGAGTGCATTTCACCACCTCCCCACTGCACTTCCACTTCCAAAATGCTTTTAAATCCTTGATGGTGTATGCTTCTCTCAGTGATAGTAATGCCTGCTAACCTTTCCATCTCCCTTCTTTACCATCTGCTTGTCTTAACAATGGATTACAAAGAAAAACATGTACAGAATAATATTTTAAATAAATTAAAACTGGCCAAACAGCTCCAGGCTGAATAGAGCAAAATGTACTGCTTAATTCAAGCAGGCTTTTAATTTGTTCTGTTTACAGCCAAAGACCAACGAGATAAACAGTTGTCCCTGAGCACTAGATTCTTCTGGTACCTGCCCTCTAGGCTAGACTATACCTGAAAACAGAATAGGGGTTCTCAACCCCAATCCAGCCAGCTAGTCCTGAAGGGGCAGCACGACTCGTGGTATCAAAAACAAATGTGAGGTCCAGCAGAACCAACAGAGAGGAATCTTCCTTCTATAGTTATTGGTGCAGGTACACAAGGCCACAAAGGCAGCCTTGGCTATAAACCTATCATAACCTTACTGAGAGGCAGTAGACAGGCAGTCTGGTGCAGCGGTTAGAGTGTCAGACTAGGGCCTGAAAAGCCAGGGTTTGCGTAAATAAACTCTCAGGCTCTATTCCTAAATGCAATTGGAAGAAAGCACTGTTGAAATCAGTGAAGGGGGGGGGGGATACTCAGGACTGGAGAACAAGATTTCCTGTGCCTCACATAGTGTTCCTATTACAGGACACACTTAGTACCAGTGTCTCGTTACAAAACATGTTTGCTGGATAGGATGCTACGTTGGCACAATGCGGTAGGCTGCGTCACAGCAACTGCTTACGAGGAAGGCGGCAGCCTAGTGGGACGTGTCTAGAGGGGACCCAGAATGAAGATGGATTTGCCTGATGCTCCCATTCTGCTCAGTCTGAAATTCATTCAAGTTTGTGGAAGGAGGATTTCAACATCTGACAGCAATTCTGTTTCAAAGCACAGAAGGCTGACAAGATGGAATTGTGGGGGAGCGGAGAAAGCAAGCCTAGGAAATAAATGGTTCCTCAGGGCCAAAGTACACACAATGTTAAATTTGTCTTTGTGTATGTAATAAGCAGGTTTTTTTAAAAAAAAATTATAATATGCAAATTGCATCAGCTGTGGGAGGGGGAGCAGCTGATAACTAATGGGATGAGAGCAGGAGTAGATGAGTAAATTAACCCTTTCTCCCCCAGCTGCAGTTCCGAAGAAAATCCCTCTTCCAAAGGAGTATTTGCTTTGGGGTGGGGCACTGGCACCACAGTTAGCTTAGTCCCTGGACAGAAGATAGTTTATACCAAGGGCTGCAACCCCATCCAGTTCAGGTAAATGACATGAGAGCTATTCATCCAGAGGGCCTCTCTCCTGACAGTGTTTAAACTCAAGTTTATTCACCTTCATCCAGCCCACAACTGCAGACAGACACAGGAGCTCGGAATGTTTTGTTTCCACTTTTAGTTAACCACAGTTTGCGGTGCTGTTCGCACCTGGAATTTTGATTGACACTAAATAATGGTTAGTTCCAACAAGTCAGCCTTCTAACCATGTTCTTTGAAGCTGACATATTTGAAGTTAACCATAGTCAGCGTTAACTACAGACTGGTTACTACAATGTGGTGAATCAAAAGCAAAAAGCTGTGTGGGAAGGGGGGAAGCTGAGGCTCT